CTGGATAAAGAAGCTGTGGTATATTTATACAATGGAATACTACTCAGCCATAAAAAATATGCCATTTGCAGCAACATGGATGGACCTGGAGATTGTCATTCTAAGTGAAGTAAGCCAGAAAGAAAGAAAAATACCATATATCACTCACATGGAATCTTAAAAAAAGAGGACACTAATGAAGTCATCTACAAAACAGAAACAGACTTGCAGACATAGTAAACAATCTTACGGTTACCGGAGGAAAGAGGGTGGAAGGGATAAATTTGGGAGTTTTGAGATTTGCAAAGGTTAACCACTACATATAAAAATAGATTAAAAAAATTTTTTCTCTGTATAGCACTGGGAACAATATTCAATACCTTGTAATAACCTTTAATGAAAAAGAATATGAAAGTGAATATATGTATACATATGTATAAAAAAGAATGTGTGTGTATACATTTGAGCATGAGTAAGGGAATCCTTGAGCAAGAAAGATGTGCTACCTTCTTTGAATCTCAGTTTAACAAGTGAGAATTCTAAGATTCATTCATACCTAGAAAGCATTTCTATGCTTAAACTGGATTTGACTGGTGATCTTAAATATGTCTTTTTTTTTTTTGAGTAAAAGTAGATTTATTCAGAGAGATGCACACTCCATGGACTGAGTGCAAGTCATCTCAGAATATCAGAGAGAGGGACCAATATATCTGTATTCTTAATAGTTATAAGGTTATAAGGAGAGTGGGGAGAAAACAAATGGCCTCTTTAATTCTCTGGGTCAGTGACTTTCAAAGTGCTTTGAGACGGCCCAAGTAGTAAGAAATACATTTTGCACTGCAATCTGGAATATACAAAAAAGAAAAGTCTTATGAAATACCTTTACTAAATGTACCTTTACTTAAGATATTTTCTGTTCTACTTTTTATTTTTTAAGAAAATGTTGGTTGTGATCCCTACATTAACTGCAAGATTCACTGAAGGGTCATGGTCTGCAGTCTGAAAAGCACTGCTTTAGGTCATGCATGTGGCAAATTACATTATGAAGGTAGAAGGTGCTTGACAGTTGGGTTTTTGCTTGTTTCTGGCGAGTTTGTAGAATTTTTTTTCCCCCATTTTCCTCACTCCTTCTCTTCCCACCCTCCTGACCCCCCAGTTGACAAGCCCTCAGGGAAGCCTCACAGGATCCCAAAGTTTAAAGGAAAAGATTCCTGAGGCAGATTTATTCCCTGGTTTGTGCATGCATTAGCTGGAGGGATGGGCAGAGCAAGGACTAAAGAAATTATTCAAGGCAAGATATGCCATTAAGGTCACACGCCCTGGGACACTTGGGTCACCCTGGCTTCTCATTGTGTAATCCCTGGAGAACTGCAACAGCACTTTTTATGGATCCTCTTTGGAGAAGTAGTTCCCCTCTCCACCCCCTGGAACAAACAAGCAGCCTCCACATAAGTAATGAGTATCAGCAGCTTTCGCTGAAGGCCAGGAGGAACACAGTGCATTTTTGCTCTTCAACTGCTCCTGCCTTCCCTTAAAAAAATAGTTTACTGAGGTAAAATTTCATATCTCCCTTTAGGAAAGCTGTAGCACAGCTAGTACCATCTGCACACACACCCTCCCCACCCCAGTCTGGGTCACTCTGACTTCACTCCCACCAGATGGCTCCAAGGGAGCACCACATCTCTCTGGCCACATGGAGGAGCCAGAGTTTGGCAGGTGACCCAACCCGGGTCAGAGTCCTTCGGTGGGAATTTTACAATGCAGCACAGTGGGGCGCCCTTTTTCCTCTGTGTCTTCAAACATAATATGTGATATTGGAGCTGCCAGTGACAATATTACCTATAGCACAGGAGGAATCTTTCTGAAGTAGAAGGAAAAAATGAGACCCCTACATTGACAGCAAAGAGTCAAGAGTTAAAAGAGTTCTGACCCCACTGTGTACCTGGATCTAGCTGCCCTTGAGGCTGGAATCATCCCCCCACCACTTTTTTTTTTTCCCTAAGCTAGTGTGAAGTGAGTTTCTCCAACTTGCAATAGAAATAGCTCTGACTGTGGGAGCCAAAATCCCTCCTGGAGTTCCAGAAGTTGCTCCTCTGGTCAGATACCAAGCAAACAAAATAATCAGGAGAGACCATCACCCATCTTCAAGCTTGCTGGAGAAGCAAACCAGCTGAAAAGGGGTGTCTGGTTATGCCTTTTTTACTTAAACTAGATTTCCTCTTACTAGCATGAGTTGGATGATATTTACTCCATAGATTGCTGTGAGGCTTAAACAAGGCAAAATGTATCAGGGCAATAGTGTAACATAATGTACAGTATGGCTGTGAAGTATTACTAGGTCTGGCAAATGTTTTCTGTTCCCTCCTACAGACAGTCTGAGAATGTGCTGTCCTTCACATATGGAGACAGTTATACAAGATAATGCCCCTTGAAGGAAAACATTTTTGGGAGCAGTAGCTACTAGCATCTCTTGAGTGTTAATTATGTATCTGACAATGAGCCAAGTGATTAAGCTGCATTACTCTGTGTAATCTTTACAAGAATTCTATGCTATTTTGATCATATGGAGGAGAAGCCAAGGCTTAGAGCACTGGCATTTTCCCTCAGGGGACACTTGATAATGTCTGGAGACATTTTTAACTGTCACGTGTGTGTGTGCGCGCGTGTGCACGTGTGTGTGTGTGTGTGTGTGTAAGCCAAGGATGCTGCAAAACAACTTACAATGCACAGGGCAGCCTCTACAACAAAGAACCGTCTGGCTCAAAATGTTAATAGTGCTGATGCCGAGAAATCCTGGCTATGAGAGAACTCAGCTGACCTGACTAAGGAACTCACATTCTTAACCACTATGTTATACTGAGACCTATGCCTGCAGGCACACACACGATCTCATACAAGCACGCACACACAGTCAGGAGGGGATGGGTGTTCAGCATCATAGTTCTTCAAGTTCTCAAGACTCCCTGCTCCGGACTGCTAACAAAAGCAGAGCAGCGACTATTCTGGAGGTCAGTAAAATCGTGTGTGATAGACCCAGGACAGGTGTCTGGAAGACTGTCAGGAGGCCTTGACCTTGAGGAGCAGAAGGCAATGGAACAGGCTGAGGATTTTAGGCTTTGCACGGTGTAAGAGGAGCTCACCAGTCTAGGATGTCTTCCTGAAATCTGCGGCACTGACCTTGTTCCAGACGAGGACGGGAGTTGGGATGCCGATGACCTCACAGCTCAGGTACACTTGTGCGCCACTGACGTTCCAGATGTCCTTGGGGGGCGTCACAATGGAAGGACCTAGAAGACGGCACAAAGCCAAATCATCTTTTTAAACAGTCGTTAACATCAGTCAGCGAGCTAGGAAGTAAATACTGGATTATATTTAGGAGGCTGTCCCTCTGCTGATTCTCTGAAGCTAATCTCAAAGACCAGACTGGCTTCCCCCAGCCACCAACAGGATTTGTGGCTACACTTTGGTAATACATAGCATACATCTTGAAAGAGTCAGAAAAAGTTAGGAAGGAAAATGTATTGCTTACAGATTTTTCTTTTCCCCCAAATCATGCTTAAATGAGTTTTAATTTACCAGCTGTTTTGGTTATCTGGGACTTTCCAAATAACAGAGTGGAATTTTACTTCCAAAATATTAAATGTTTTTCTTTTTTGTTTACCACCATTTCTTTCGGGATGGGATGGGGCAACAAGCAACCACTCCTTGGGTGATGAAAGAAAAGAAATATCTCAGAAGATTTCTGCAAATGTGCTGAATACCCAAAAAAGACGGCAGTCCCTGCCTCCAGCAGTTTGGATCTAAAATTGACAAGTCAATGGTGGTAACAGCAGGGATGCCAACTTTCACTGAAGAGAAAGGCATGGTGTGCTGTGTGTGCCGGGAGGCTGGAAGGAGGCACCTCTGAACCTGGGAGTCACGGAAGAAGATGGGAGTGTCCTTCCCAGCTCAGACAGGGAGAAGCAGTGACAGGTTTACTGTGTTTGACCAGGGCCCCAAGAAGAGGGCTCTTTCCCAAGGTTCTCAGTGTCCATGTGCCTGGCAGGGAGCACTGGCTACTAGAGGCTACCAGTATGAGACCACCCAGGGAGAGCCCAGAGCTATCAGTACCTCCCCACCTGCCCCAGTTCTGGGAACACATCCCTAGGCCTTCGCTCTCATGCCCCCTCCAGTAAGAAGGCCCTTATGCAGAACCAACATCAATGATATGTATCCTTTTTGTTACTGAAGAGGTCCTGGGGTTAAATCTGGCCCGTCACTTGTTGCATGGCTTGTAAGTGGTATTTATGTTTTAAAATGGCTAGAAGTTTTTAAAAGAAGGATATTTCAAGATGTGAAAATTATCAGAGGTTCACATTTCAGTGCCCATAAAATGAAGTTTTACTGGAACACAGCCATGCCCAGAGGAGGCAGTTGCAGCTAAGACTGTAAGGTCTAAGATAATTACTATTTGACCCTACGTATAAGTGCTGGTCCCTGCTCTTATCAGTTGAGGGGTGACCAATGCCTAAATAAGACATTACAGGAACGTTTCAGGACTTCGATCCTTTATGCATTACCCCAGACAGATGCAAATAAACCCACTGGATAATTTCTGATCCAGCTCTAGAATGTTAACATTACTTTTTTTTTTTAATGTATTGAGTATAGTTGATTTACAATGTTGTGTTAGTTTTTGGTGTACAGCATAGTGATTTAGTCATATGTGTGTGTATATGTATGTATATATATATACACACACATATTCTTTTTTATATTCTTTTTCATTATAAGTTATTGCAAGATACTGAATATAGTCCCTGTGCTATACCATAGGAACTTATTGTTTATCTATTTTTTATATAGGAGTTTGTATCGGCTAGTCCCAAACTCTAAATTTATCCTGCCCCCACCTCTTCTCCCTTTGGTAACCATAAGTTTGTTTTCTGTCTGTGAGTCCGTTTCTGTTTTGTAAAAAAGTTCATTTGTCTCATTTTTTTAGATTCCACATATAAGTGATATCATGTGCTATTTGTCTTTCTCTGTCTGACTTAGTTTACCTAGTCTGATAATCTCTAGGTCCATTCATGTTGCTGCAAATGGCATTATTTTATTCTTTTTCATGTCTGAGTGGTATTCTATTATATAAATATACCACATCTTCTTTATCCAGTCATCTGTTGATGGACATTTAGGTTGCTTCCGTGTCTATATAGTGCTGTTATGAACATTGGGGTGCACGTATCTTTTCAAATTGGAGTTTTCTCTGGATCTATGCCCAAGAGTGGGATTGCTGGGTCATATGGTAAGTGTATTTTTAGTTTTTTAAGGAATCTCCATGCTATTTTCCATAATGGCTGCACCAAACTACATTCCCACCAGCAGTGTAGGATGGTTCCCTTTTTTCCACACCCTCTCCAGCATTTACTGTTCATGGACTTTTGAATGATGGCCATTCTGACTGGTGTGAGGTGATACCTCATTGTAGTTTTGATTTGCACTTCTCTGATAATTAGCAATACTGAGCATCTTTTCATGTGCCTATTGGCCATTTGTTCATCTTCAATGGAGAAATGCTTGTTCAGGTCTTCTGACATTTTTGGATTGGGCTGTTTTTGTTTGTTATTGAGTTGCAGGAGCTGTTGAAATGCAACACTACTGAAGTCTACAGGTGTGGAAAGAGCTGTGCTTGCTCACTGCTTTCTGCTGAGGGGCCAGCTCCCCAACATCGGCAGGAGCAGAGTCAGGTACACCTACTTTTAGTGGGTGGTAATCAGTCTTTCACTTCTGCTAATTCACAATGCCAGGTTTCACGCATCAGGGGCCTTCAGAGAGTCCACACTAGAGGGAAGTAGAGCTGGGAGCCTGGGATCCTGGTGTGACAACACTGCTCCCAGAACCAAACCTGGCCCCTACTAGAAGCTCCACACCATTTCTGCAAAGAATGAGTTAATTATTCCCTCTGATTTTCAGCTTTCCACTGCCTTGGGTCTTCCAGCTGAATAAAATATCTAACTACTGGGTCATCTTGCACCAGAGTCTTGGGAAAGGGACAACCTCCCCTCGGGGCCTGGAAAGTTTTCTGGCATAATCAGAAATCAAAGGGCATGAAGTCTCCCCTTTTGCAACAGGCTATTTCCAGTCCACGATTAATTTCTTGAAACAGAAAGGAAATGACAACAGCATGTAAGATTTTTCCCACTCATCTAAAGTATTGGAAGCTAGTTTTTTAACAAATCCCTTGAGGTAGTTTTTTTTCCCCTTTGTAAGAATGTGCAAAACAAAGTTTTGAAAGCTCTAAATATATTTGGTGCTTCCTTTCCTATAACCCCTAGGTCTAAAGAGGAAGTGTCTATCTTGGCCAGGGGTCTTGGCTTTTCTGTCGCAAACATGGATGTGGTAAGCCCAGCGGGGCTGTGTTTACGTGTGTCTCTGGCTCTGTCTCCGATGCTTCCGAGTCTGTCCTCACCGACATGAGACCCCGCAAAGGGCAGGGCTGGGCCTCACCGCATCTCAGGCTTCCTCCAGGGCCCTGGGACCTTGCAGGCTTGGCCACTGCAGACCGGATCTGGCTCACCTCCGAGGGCCCCACGTGGCTCTGTCCTCCTTCCCATACATGGACTTGGCAGGGAAGCTCCAACCTCAGGGGATCTCAAGGGAGTGTTCTGAGAAGAATACACCAGAGTTCAGAGATTGGAGGGACTTGGGAACAAAGCTGCCTCTCACAGGGCAAAACCACAGGAGGAATGTGAGCCGTTTCTGCTGTGAGATCCGAACGCCTCAGCCTTGCATTAAGCCACTTATTTCAACGCGCAGGCATCCCTCCACAGGCAGAGCAGGAAGCAGAGGCGGCGTCTGTGTCCGGGGCAGGCTCTAGGGGGCACACGGAGGAACTCCAGCCCGATTTTCTGTCACAGATCTTGAAAACGTGCTATGGATTCTTCCGATGGCCTAATTTTAAAACTAAGATGTTCTTAGTAACTTTTCTTTTATGATTAGTGCTTTTGGTATCCTGTTAAGATTTTTCTTGCCTTGCCAATGCCATAAAGCTCTCCTATTTTCTTCGACAAGCTTTATGGTTTCCCCTTTAACGTTTAGGTGTATAGTCCATCTTGAATTAATTGCTGTGTATGCTATGAAGTACAGGTCAAAGTTCATCGCCCCCTCTCCAAAGGACAACCAATTGCTTTGGCACCATTTGTTGAAAAGACCGTCCTTTTCCTACTGAAAGTGGTGCCTTTGTGGCAAATCCACTGACCGAATACGTGTGAGTCAATTTTTGGATTTTCTATTCTGTTCTATTGGTCTATGTGTAAGTCCTTGTACCAACAACCACGGTATGATTTAGAATTGTTTCAAAACTGAAGCACTGAATGGAGGGCAGACCCAGTATATCCATCTCCCTCCAATCCCTCCCTTAGTCCAAGAAGCAGACTATTTCAGGAGGAGCAAAAATTCTTTAAAAACACCTGATCCCACTCATGAATACTTGGAATGAGAGCCATCACCAGGGCGTTCGAGACAAATCATGCTGCAGGTTCTTCTTTCTTGCTCCTAACTCTAAGAATACATACGAAACTTTGGGGGAATGGACTGAGTCAACAGTCGGACCATTCTGAGAACAGAAACGATTTTTGACAATTCTGCTACTAGGCTATGCCTAGAATTCTACAAGATTTCCATACCACAAACATCTGTATTACTCACTGATTCCTGTTGAGTTGATGGGGTGGAGAGGCAGAGGAGGGGCCAGTTTGTAGTACAATATTTATGAAAACCCTTGGCTATTTCAAATGTCCTTGATCCACAGAGACACCAACTGGACACATCTTGCATGGAAGTGAAGGGATGGTGAAAATGTTTGGGGTTAATATGATGGCAGCTCCAACAACACTGTACTCCCCTCCCCCACTCTAAAGATCCACCATCCCACATATTCCATTGACAAGCAACTTCACTTCCTGCAGTTCAATTCCTGAAGGTTCTGTTCTACCTCAGGAGAGCACTCGACAAAATAACTCTTTACCAAATAACTTCTAATTCTTTCCCATATTGCCTTTTTCCCAAGAGGATGAAAGCAGATCCAGAATTATTCCTGTTTTTAAGGATAAAGGAACTTTTAGTTCTTCTGAGCTCATTTCCGGGCTCAAAGCTCAAAATCAGTTCTCGAGGCCAAGCCAAGGGTAACAACACTGCCATCTAAATCATACTCAGTGTTTGGATTCCACTTAAAACAAGTCATAGAATATTTAAATGTATAGGAACAAACATCAGGATAGGTTTATTTATTTATCCTTGCCTTTGTTCC